ATCGTACCAACCGAGTTGAAGTAAACCGTCGACCGTTGGGGACCCCATCCCCTCCCCAACATTCAGCATACGGTCCCAGCCGAAACGCCAAAAGGGCTGGTTTGCTTACCTCTTGCCGCGGTCTGATTTGAAGAGAGTTCTTGAGAGGGTAACGAGGCTCATTTCATTCCTTCTCATAGCGTATCTCTCGTATGCTCACTAGAATACCATTCCTTATTCACGGCAACATTATGAGCGGCTATGAGGTGAAAACTAATGTTGTTGTGCTTTATCTGAACCAGGATAAGGTTACCATCTGATTCCGTATTGCCGTCTCCTACTTTTTGGGTATTAGCCAATTTTGATTCGAGCCTTGGATCTGGCAGATCAATTATATACCGGATCAGGTTGATTTCCTGGGTTAGGAGGGATGCTAAGTACAGCAGCCTCACTCTTTTTCACTCATGACAAGGAGGTCAAGCAGAGAAGTGGAAAGGTGGGAAACATTAAGGTAGGAAGGTAAATTGTAGGGATCTGCTATTGAAGATTTGTTATGCCTGCATGGTAGCCTGGCATGGTCCCTCACCTAACGTTTGGATCTGACTGGATTCTGCTGGAGCTAGAGCGCTCTTCCTGTTACTGCTTTTATCTCCACCTACCATCTATTATCTATTTTCTCCACTACTGTAATCATATGTACATAGATTTTTCTTTCTTTTCTTCCTGCATATGTTAAACTGTGCGAAGATAAGTTTCGTAATCCTCTCACGGAAACTACTGGCAGAGCTAGAAAGCTGCTGGAAATCAGCGTTTGGGAAATCTCCTTATATACACAGGTCTTATTTTGTCTGGCCACTTTGTCCTATCACCCGTACTGGTAAAACGCCTCTCCTCTTCTTCTTTTTTCTTCTTTTTTTTCTGGTCCAAGTTTGTTTTCCAATTGGTTCGATTTTCAGAAGGTGCTGCGCTCGAACGAGACGAATACTTCTGGGCTCAGTTATCCGGAGAGCACGTTTTACGACACCCCGTTATTTATCGGCATGCACTTCCACGATGCGCGTGTGACGCCTGGTAAGCACATAGCCAGTGTTAGATCGGAATCATTGTAGTCCAAAAATGTTACTCGTTCGAAGAGGTTGTCCGAAAACAGCCCTAAAATCCCATAAATAAGTCCGCTTCCATTTTTACAGAAAGGCGTGCACTTTTTTGTTCGCTCTACCTTTTTGCTTAGCAGTGGTTTTCAATGGCTTCTCCATTCAAAAGCAAAACATTAAAACAGAAACATTTGAGTCAGACAATAAGCAGCAATTTGAACTACGCACACGCTATGCTGGTAACGCTTACCTTGCTAAGCGAGCTTGTCTTAAAGGAGGAGGTCACGATAATTCCCATGGGGACGATAAGGAAAGTTACGTACTGGAGTGGGTAGGGTCCTGCCCAATGTTACAACAGGTGAAGTTTCAGTGGCAGTGGCGCCTTATCAACGGCGTGATAAGGCGCCGAAACCCTTTCCGGGTAGCAAAAACACCTACCGTATCGATGTGGAAGGGGTTGTAGTGGCAGCGCTCAAGCATGGTGCCGCTGTAGTTAGGT